TGTAGCCGAGATGTCTACCTAATCCTGTTTTCAAAATATACATATGTCTGCAGCCTTTACTGCTTTTCCTAGCATTTAAACGTATCACACAGTTTATTTCTCGATCCCTCCCCGATTAGAGTACAGGAGGGTGGGAATTTCGTCACATTCACTGTAGTACCCTCAGCACTAAGAAGATTCATGACAACTAAAAGACAATGACTATTTGGGTGAATGGGTGAAATATGGCATGCTGTGAGGGAGAGGAAGAGTAATACAATACAAGGTCAAAGGTGAGCACGTTTCAGAGCGTAGTGAGTTTCAAAGTTCCGGGTGGACAGGAACTGAGGCTTTATTTTAACCGGCATGGGAACTATAATAGAATCAGTGAGACCAAGCAAGGAAGTGTAACCTGACTGACAGTGGCTCATCTGGAGAATGAACTGTGGTGGACAGAAAGATTTCATTCAGATTTCCTATGTCAATGGAATGGGCAGCTGCGCTCTCTATTCCTGCCTACATGCCTGCGGGTCAGCTGAGGGCGGACTGGACGGGGTTCCTGCTTCAGGCTGCGTCTCTGCCGGGGACTCGTTCCTGCCTATATACTCGGGTGTTCTCTGTGTTTTCTTCGTGAGCGGGACTCTTGCTGAAAGTCCAGCAGCAGCTTTGAGAATTACAGATGTGCAAGAGAGTAAACTCAGGCTAGGGATGTTAGAATACTTACCAAGTACACACACAGCCCTGGGCTTGATCCCAAGTACCACATAAAGGTGTGATGGTGCATGCCTGTAATTCCAGCATTTGGAAGGTAGATATAAGAGAATCCAAAGTTCAAGGTCATGCTTTTACATAACAAGTTCAAAGCCAACCTGGAATGTATGAGACTTCTGATGGAGGAAGAGATAGAAATAATGAAAGAACATTCAACCGTGGAAGCAAGTTGAAGTTTGAGTTTAGGTCACCTCTTACCTATCAGTGATAGAGATAACAAAGTGAGAGAATCTATTTGTAAAGAGAAATGATACATTTTGACTCAGAATTTTGGAGGTTTCAGTCCAGGTCTTTATCCCCTTGCTTTTGGGGTGTAGTGAAAAAGCACATAAATAGGAACACACAGCAAGACAAAATTGCTCACATCATCATGGGAGAGGGAGGAAAAAGGAAATTGGTCCATAATCCTCCCAAGGGCACACATCCAATGACCCAAAGGCACCCCACCACCCCTATCTCTTGACAACGACAACGACTGTCTCCCAATAGTGCCAGCCTGGGGATCAGGCCTTTCATGGACATTTAACATCTACACAACACTAGGGGAAGAACCATCTGTTAACAATGGGAAAGCTAAGAGTCATCAACCACAGGAGACTAGATGGTGAGATAAAGCTGTCTTCAAGCTGGGAATGCATTGCTGGGATTCTCTAATTAAAATGAAGAGTTACCCAACCATAGACTTCCTGGAAATCAAATAATCTGCCATAAACTGTGCAATTAAATGATTCTCCATAGGCAAATGTAGCTTTGAGAGATGAAAGCTTTTCACGTTTGTGTAAACATTAAGACTCTACTGGCCTTATTTATATGTTATGTTTATAGTTTTCTGAAATAAGAAGACGATGTGGCTTATTTAGTGCCATTTGCAGTTACACAACTTGGCGCTACAGCAAGGAAATCACTTTTCTAAGGAGAGAAATGTTAAAGAGAGCCCAGGGTTGGTGTCACTTGTAAGGAGTAATGCTTTATTTCTTAAATTGTGCGCCCTTTATTTTCAAATAACATTTATCTTGGTTTTTTTTTGTTTTGTTTTGTTTTGTTTTGTTTTGTTTTTGCTTAATAATGAAAAAAAAAGCAATAACATCAAAGAAGCAGTCTCTCTGCTGGTACAAATATACAATGGTAGTCACTGTCAAAGTGACTGACACTGTCTATTACAGTTTTAAAATGACTATTATCATTTAAATGACTAGACTTTCAATGCTGAGTACTGTCTAGGTTCAGCTCCTTGAATAATTAGGTTGCTTTCTGGGATCCTGAGATGCCCCACTCTCTGTTAGAGATAGCTTCAGATCCTCTAAAACCCTCCAGGGTCTCTGCTGACGTGCTCTGCCCCACTGTCTATGCCCTGCCCCCCCCCACACACACACACATACACCCTCATTCTCCCTCCTTCATAGCTTCTGTGGGTTTTCCTCCCTGAATACACTCCCAAGGCATAAAACGATTTAAGTTCTAAGGTCAGTAACCCAGCAAGATTTCTATCATATCTCCTGCCATAAAACTCCCCGCATTCATGCCTGCCACAGGGAGAGCTTGGAAAATGCAACCAAGATTATTTGCGTTCCCTTGGCACCGCTGTCCCCACTCCTCCTAAAGTGTAGGAAATGTTCTTTTGCTCCATCAGCTGCTTAGAAGGCATATTGTTTTCCTGGAATGAGGTCCACCCACCCTGATTTCAGAGACAAAATTCTGGAATGGCTGTGTTAACCACGTACTGAAAGACAGGAATGCATTCATTGGGAAGTTAAGTTCAGTGTTTTCTCAGGAAGGAATGTAATCAGAATTGTAACTAGCAAAAAATGCTCCCAGGCTCCCTCTCCATTTGTTTGTTGTTTGTTGGCTGTTTTGTTCTTTTGCTGTCTCTTGCTGTGATCCAGGCTGGCCTCAGAATTGTGAGCTTAGCTCCCAAGTGCCTGGTTACACAGCCGGCTCATTTCTTGGGTTTAGATGAGATGCTCACTGGGAGTAAGAATACTATAACTACCTAGCTACATTTGCGGGTGAACATTTGAACATTTGTGGGTGTTCTTTTTAAAATAATATTCTAGAGCATTTCTCGATTTTATTTACTTATCTATTTATTTATTCTTTTGGAAATCCCTTAAGAAATGTAATTTTCCTTGTAATATTTAAAAGTTCTGACTCAGAGTCTCCATCTCTCAGGTAAAGCCAATTCATCTTTAAATCACATGCATAAATAATGGTCAGGAAATTTTTAAGGTCAATTACTCAACAATTTCAAAACCTGAACTTTAAGGCTATTTCATAACTGCATGTTGTGAAATTATGACAGCTTCAGAGTGCAACGGGAAGAAGTGAAGAGCACCTTCTGGGAAGTCTTTTTTTGCTAAGTGTTTAGGAAGCTGTCATTAATGTGTTAGTGTACTTTCTTAAGATGGGGGTGGGTGTTAAATCAGAGTGCTTTTGTTTGTTTTGTTTTTACTTTTTTTTGGTTTTGAGAATTTCACATATGAGTACCCTGTCGACAGTAGCCTCTCCTCCCTCCAATGTTTCCCGTGTCCCCCACCATTCCTTCCTAGCTGTATGACCTTACTCTTTAACTATCACTGTTTAAATACTATTGTACATATAAATGTATAAGAAAAACGTGCTGAGTTCATTTAGTGCTGTTTATCTGGATATGCATCCAGGGTTGTTCACTTGGGACTGCATTGCCTTCTGAGAGGCTCTTCACCAGGGCGAATTCTATGACTTACCTTTGTCCTATTTTTTTGTTTGTTTGTTTAGGATAAATGATATTGGGACACGTTGCCTTTTTAAAAAGGAAATAAAATGAGAAAGTAAGAGATTTGGTCACAATGTCACCTTGTTGGTTAACTGTTCAAGAGACAGACTATTAGAGTTTCCCATATTGTGTAAAATATTTCCATTTCATAGTTTAGGGTTTGGCCTAAAAATTCCAGTGCACAGAGTGTCTTTTCTAGTGGTTTTGCATTCATACTTGAATTTTATTCTTTATAAAACTTCCTGATGTTTAATTCAGTTTTCTCAAAATTTCTGTTTGTTCAGGAGCAAGTCAATTAGTTAAAGGGAATGATTTTCTTTGGGTAACGTGGGATGCAAAATTAAAGTTTAATGCAATTTTTGGAATGTACAGTTCATACCCAACAAATGGGTCAGCTACAGTTCAGATAATAGGGTAGTTTATAGGACAGTGGCATCAACACAGCCTTCTTCACTCTCCTAGGTCACAAGCCCTTCTTTCTGAGAGACAGACTGATCCTGGGAAGGAGGGGGATATGGGGGTAGGGGACTGTGGTGAATGGTAGAGCACAAGGCATGCCTAAGCAAGCGCTCACATTTCCAACAGGCTGCTTCCTTTGTAAAAAAAAAAAAAAAATTATTTTTTATATTAATTACAGTTTATTCACTTTGTATCCCAGCTGTGGTCCCTTCCCTCATCCCCTCCCAATCCTACCCTCCCTCCCTCATCTCTTCCCATCCCCCTCCCCCAGTCCACTGATAGGGAACAGGACAGGAGTCTTCCACAGAGGACCTCTGAAAGACTCTACTCAGAAAGGTATCAAAGCAGATGCTGAGACTCATAGCCAAACTTTGGGCAGAGTGCAGGGAATCTTATGAAAGAAGGAGGAGATAGAATGACCTGGAGGGGACAGGAGCTCCACAAGGAGAACAACAGAACCAAAAAAATCTGGGCCCAGGGGTCTTTTCTGAGACTGATACTCCAACCAAGGACCATGCATGGAGATAACCTAGAACCTCTGCTCATATGTAGCCCATGGCAACTCAGTGTCCAAGTGGGTTCCCTAGTAATGGGAACAGGGACTGTCTCTGACATGAACTCAGTGGGGGGCTCTTTGATCACCTTCCCTGAAGGGGGAGCAACCTTACCAGACCACAGAGGAAGATAATGCAGCCAGTCCTGATGAGACCTGATAGGCTAGGGTCAGATGAAAGGGGAGGAGTTCCTCCCTTATCAGGCTGCTTCCTTACTGGAACCAAGACCCATTGATTTATCAGAGGATCCTGGACTTTCATGTGAAATCTCTCATCTTTGAACAATGACAACTAAACAACTTTTAAATCATTTTAAGAATGTGTGAAAGCTAAATTGAAAGTGTCTGAAGGCCCATGGACCACTTCTTAGGGGGAGTTCTTTGTTAACAATAAGAATGTGTTTCCATCCACATCCTTTCTTTTGCAGTAAGCATTTACACAGCTCGCTTGCATCCTAACGTGTCCTTCCTCTTCGTCTTTACCAGGCTATGTGTTATCTCTGGTCTGTTCGAACTCTTCCCAGGCTTCATGTGAGATCACAAACGTGTCACAGCTGCTGGCTCATCCTGTCCTCTACACAAATCGGAATTCCACTCTAACCAACTTCAGCATCTCAGCAAATGTAGAAAACAAGTACAGTCTTTATGTGGGCTTGGTATTGGCAATAAGCTCCAGCATTTTCATTGGCTCAAGTTTCATACTCAAAAAAAAGGGTCTCTTGCAACTGGCCAACAAGGGCATTACTAGAGCAGGTAAGAAACACATTTCCTCTTTGTCCTGCCCTTTGCCCAGCTGACTCATAACTCTGAATTCTGCCATAGTTCACCAGCTAGAAAGGTCTCCTTTACCATTGTTCCTCAATTTCTATCATTGAACCAGTTTCCTTCTCTACCTCTACGATAGTGCATGCATTGTTTATTTTAGTCCTCAGGTTTGCTTGCTTACTGATAGGAGACTCATAAACCGTGCACTCACAGTGCTGGGCACCCACAAGAGATTTGTTGAGTCAACGAATGGATAATGGTAGAACCACACTGCTATTTACAGTGACCTTTCAGATGCTGAGAACCCTGTCTGACTGCATTAGCTACATATTTAGATTCTTTTTCATGAAGTTAATAGCATAAAGAAATTTAAATTTTTTCTAGGTCAATATGGAAAAATAAATGGATACAAATTATGTAAACAAGTTTTTGAAGGAGTATTGGAGGATATTTGCTTCTTCAGAAAACCTACTCTATTATGGTCTTAATGAAAACAATTTGGTGCCAGAATTAAAATAAATAATAAGAGATCGCTAAAGATGTACAAGTTGAAAAGATTACATATAATAGCTAACATACAATTTTTAAAAGTAGTATTTCAGATTAATGAAGAAAAATGAATTATTCAATTAAAAGTACTGAGGCAGTTGGGAAAAAACAGAGGGGAAAACGTGAGAATTCTACTTTTTAACCATTCTGCAGAATTCTTTGATGTTGAAATGAAGCCTTCTTAAGTATAAACCTAGTCTGTGCAACAGAAGAATGAATTCTATGTAATGTAAGAGATGCTCTGAGTGAATGGATAAGACAGGTCGCACACAGACATCCTCTTTGGAAAGAACTTACTTGAAACTAAATAGTCAGATGATATTGGGGGAGCTATGAAATATACAACACAGTATGACAGAGTTCCTAATATATAAAGAACAAGACAAGAAAACACAAACCCTAAAATAAAACAGCAAAGCGCAAAAGTAAAAAGCACAGGTGAGAGATGCAAACAGCCACTGTGCTGGTACCTTTCCCGTTCAGTCATTTGTACATTTCATAAGGAGAAAATATAAAGGAAGCATAGTAAGCTAGTTTGCAAGATCATCGTTATTGCTTATAGAACCTGCTTAGTTATATAATTATCATGTAACATATTATATTAATTACAGTAGTAGGTTATTACTATAATGCAATCATCTAGGTCAAAGTCAGGAAGTTAGGTGTGTCAGAACTGAGAAAATGCCATTGTCTACAGCTGACACGTTAGAGGTGACCTCAGGTCATGGGTTACACTCATGGTGAAACGACTCCAGGCAGCTTCAGAAAAGCTCCTTGTCCTTCTCAGAACGTCAGGGTGGGGGCTAAGCAGAGTCCAGCTGTCTGATGCTTGTCATTCCTTTATTGACTCAACCAAATCTCAAAGACTCCCATATCAAGTATCTTATTCTCCCAAGGACCAGGCTCACTTTCAAGCTATGGTTTGAGTCTTAATTCCATGGCTGAAATAAAGAATTCAAAGTTTATAAGGGCCCAAGCCTGTACTGCTGACTGACATCAGCAGTGAACCTGAAGACTAAGTAAAATTTCAAACAAGTCAAAGGAACATTCCATAGAGGTCAAAGGTAACAGAAAGCCCGAGAAGACCTAGGGAAGGACCCTCAAGGAGGACAGTTGCTGAGTTGACTAGAAGTCTTGCCTTTGCCAACACATTCAACACCTTTCCCGCACTCAGCTCTTCTGCCCTCATCTCCTGAGGTGAGACTCTGACTTTCGGTTTTTGGTATTTCCCAGGACAAGGTGGATATTCTTACCTCAAGGAATGGGTGTGGTGGGCAGGACTTCTGTCAAGTAAGTATGGAGTTCATGAGTTTTCATAGTCCATTGTTCTAACCTCCTCCTGGGGAGGATGGGACTGTGTCTGCCAAGGTCTGTGGCGACTTAGCACACTCCTTCTACAGGTCTAACACCCTCTTCTGACCATCACAGGCACCGTCTACACAGACATACTCTATGAGCACATCCCTCACACACAAAAAATAAAGAAGTTAAAGAAACTATTTGAGTACCTTTCCCCTAATAAATGACAGAAGCAGAAAGGGACGATGAACAAAAGGCATTTAAGTTTGCAGAGCCCTTTTCATTTTTAAGGTGTTTTCATCCCCATTTGCTGAATAGAAGTCGACTGGACTACCTTAGGGAGGTTCCCGTTGGTATTATCTGAGTGATTCTCCTCCTCTGTCTGTTTCTTACTTGTATCCCCTCACCCTCCATTCACATTTTCAAATGGAAATACAGGGGCTTGGAGATAAGTCTCAATGATTAAGACCGCTTGATGCTTTTGCGGAGGACCTGGGTTCGCTTCCAGCACTGACATGGAGGCTCATGGCTACCTTCAGTTTCAGCCCCAGGAGAATCTGACCGTCTCTTCTAACCTCCATGGACACCAGGCACCCACAAAATGCCCAGATACACATGCATACCAACACCTGCATCCATGAAGTAAAAATAAATCTTAAAATGAAAATCTAAGGAGGAAATTGTATGGCTATATTTATAATGTTGTAGAAACCAGGCCAAAAAGCTTGTGAGAATGTGGATGAGGACATTCCTGAGGGGTGCTGTCCAGCTATTAGCATATGAATTGGGATTTACGTGGAACAACAGCTATAAAAATAGAAACTATAAACAAAATAAAGTCACCGAAGGAAACCAAATAGTCTGGAAAGGTTGCCACAGTTCTTTTTATGACAGCGGCTTCTTAATTGCTCTGAACACTGTCTTCACGGTGTTCTAATGCTGGGTACTCCTGTAGTTTCCATGTTGTACCAAAGTAGACAAAGGAAAGAAAAAGAGTATATTCTTCTCTTTTCTCTCCCCACTGTGCATTTGCTTGGTGCAGTTGGGCAGCGTGGAATACTTCAGTCTCTGGAGAATTATCCCACTGCAGTCCCTGAGAATAAGCTGGCTCCACACAAAAGCTAGCTCTTGGGGGAGCTTCCCTCACTCTGGAAGGTATTTGCAACACACTACTTGGTGCAGATCTCAAGTTTCTCAGATAAGGTCACATTCAGACATCCATCCTTAGGACTTTCAAACAGCTGCCTGGATCTTCTTGAGCTCCTGAGACAGCAGCACTTACTCGTGGGCCTGTGGTGGGGATTCCTGGCTGTCAGCCACCCAGACACAAGATGGCCACAAACCCTTCTCATTTCATAAGATGCCAGGGTTGTTGCTGTGGTCAGACTGCAAAGGGGGTCACTCTCAACTCACTCCAAAGCTACCTTTACCAGGTTACATTAGACTGACCTATGTTTTCATCATGTAAGTAGCTCAAGTCTTAGTTGAAAGCCATGTACAGTGTGCGTTCACCCATCAGTGTTGTTACACTGTTATCGCCAGACAATTACATCCCATGGTAGCGATCCTTTTCCACTGTCTTAGCGCCTTTGAGAAAGACATCTGTTGCTAGCATGAGCCATTTTCTTACCTCTTCCGAGGAAGCCATTATCCCACCTGCTCGTATTTCTGCTTGCTTTCCAGTGGCAGCTGGAGAGGCTGCAAACTTTGCAGCGTATATATTTGCACCTGCAACCTTGGTCACCCCACTGGGGGCTCTGAGTGTCCTCATAAGGTAGGTGAACAACAGAAAGCTTGGCTTCTGTGGCTTCTTCTCTATCACCAACACCCTTGAGCCACGAGACGCATTCTGCTAGGAAATCACAGCGAACAGAACAACAATGCAACCTGAGCTCTCCAAGCACAGAGAGCTCCCACATAATGCCTGGGATTCCTGAAGTCTTAGAGACAAGTTGCACGTATTATAGGTGTAAAAGATTATTTCTTGGGCTAGGAATCACTCACATGCAAAAAAGGCTTTGAGTTAGACCTCCAGCAAAGAAAATTAATCTTGCCTCTAAATAAAAATTGAGAAAGCTACCCACTCCCTAAAAATAGTAGTAGAAATAGGAACTACATGGTCATATTGTTACTGCCCCATCCCCAACCCCTCACCACCACCCCCAAAAAAGATCCTGACAAGAGAGCTTAGCTCGCAACTGACAAGGTAATTGCAAATTATGTTTGCAGTGATTCAGCAAAGCCTAGCCAGAGGGCTTTTTGTTTTGTTTTGTTTTTTGGTGTGTTTTATACCTCTCACTTGAGTAACTTGTGACCCTCCTTTGAATTTTTCTTGTTGGCATAGTGTCCAAGCTACATTTCAACTCTCACTAAAATTTTACCACTGCCTGCTGGATACCTCTGTGTGGATGTCCTAATACACACACACACACACACAGAGAGAGAGAGAGAGAGAGAGAGAGAGAGAGAGAGAGTCATTGAAGGAGGCCATGGCTGAAGTTCAAAGGCAGGAAGTGAAGCAGAAACCATGGAGAAACAGCTGCTCGCTGGCTTGCTCCCCACAACCCGCTCAGCTTGTTTTCTTATACACCTCAGGCACACCTACTTGTCCAGGGTTGCAGCATTGCTGGCGGACTGGGCCCTCCCACATCAGCCCTTAATGAAGACAATGCCCAGAGATTAATCTCAAGGAGGCAACTCCTCAGTGGAGGATCCTCTCCTCACATGACCCTCGTTTGTGTCAGGTTAAGAAAAACCAAGCAGCACACAGGGTCTGACTTTTCTGAGTTCATCTATACTATGATTGCAGTAACCATGAACTCCTTGTGTGGCTTGGCTACCATTTCGTTGCATTTGGTTTTGTTGGCTTTTTTTTTTTTTTTTTAGAGTCTATAAATTCTCAGTTTCTAGTAGAAAGCTGCAGACTAGGCCTACCAACTTCTCCTTTCTGTCTTTATGGAACTGAGAGAATTAAATGAGTGGATGTGTGCGTATAAAGCAGTCACAAGACTTGGCTATGAGTTTTCACAGGGGCTGAAGTGCCACTAGTGACCACAAGAGGGCAATTCTGAGAAGGCGCCAGGTAAAAGTCTTGGCATCAAATGGCACCACTAATTGAGAATGGCAAGGAAGAAGGCTGGTTGTTGGGCAGGGACCACAGTGAGCCTCTTGGTGTAGCATTCTGCTCTGGTACCCATGGTGGTGCCAACCGTGATTAGGTTGAAAACAAATCCTGAAAAACAAAACACTGGGAGCTTTAGATAGGCAGAAATATGCAGGCCAGGTGGACAGTAGGGAAGTTTTTCACTCTTTGACAGTCTGAACAGTTGAACAGGTATGTGTTGGTTATGAATCAGTTCTGAACAGAGTACCTGCTGTCTAGGTATATATATTGTGTGTGTCTGTGTGTAATGAAGGTCAAAGGACAGCCTCAGATGTCAATCTTCAGGCACTGCACACCTTTTTTTGTTGAGACAGGCTCTCCCACTGACCTGAAGCTTGTCAAATAAGGTAAGATCCCAGCAAGCCCTTGGAATCCTTTTGTCTCCGCTTCCCCAGCACTGGGGTTTGAAAACTATGTACAAACCTACTGGCTTTTTTTTTTTTTTTTTTTTTTTTTACAAGGATCCTAGTCTTGAAACTCAGGTATTGGTCCTTATGCAGCAGACACTTTACGGAATGACCCAGGTCCCCAGGCTAGGGTGTATATCTTTGAAACATTCATGGCCTATTATATTCTAAATGGAGTGGCTGAACTTTCCTGCTTCAAAGTGCAGGAAGCCCAACTGCTCCCAAATCTGAAACATTCTGGGCCTGCATAGGATGCCATAAGGGAAAAATTCCTTGCCTGATCTCATGTGACAGGCATCAGTCAAAACATGAGCACATCAAACATACTGTGTAAAACTGCCCTCGGGGGAGTTTGTCAAGTCTACACAAAGCACAGATGAATTTTCTTTGTAAGCTCAAGTTCCCTCCCTAAGAGTTGTCATACATGCAAATAAGCCACACACACCCAAAACACCTACAATCAAAACAGGTCAGGAGCCAAGCATTTGATAAAGGATAGATAGATAAAGGATGCTCAGTTTTGCCAGTGAGCTACAAAATATTGTTCGTTCCAGTCCACTTGACAGGACATAAGGTGACTAGAAGCTAATTAAGCTCTAAGTCATATGGAGAAATGTCCGTGGCAAAGCATGTCTACAGTATCTCCTCCCGACTATGAAAGTAGCAAAATAGAGAAGCTTAGCCATCACTGCTGAACAAGCTAGGGTCTTCCGGTGTCTCCTAGTGTATCCTAGCCAGCTCCATGGGGCACAGGACAAGACATACAGCAGTGTGACCTCTAAGCTGCAGTGGAATCAGAAGATAACTGAACTGTGCTGATTTCGTTTCTCTCTCTCTCTCTCTCTCTCTCTCTCTCTCTCTCTCTCAACAGTGCAATACTGTCTTCCTATTTTTTAAACGAGCACTTGAACATTCACGGGAAAATAGGCTGCATATTAAGCATATTGGGGTCAACTGTGATGGTTATCCATGCCCCACAAGAGGGAGAAGTCGCTTCTTTACGTGAGATGGAAATGAAATTGAGAGATCCAGGTCAGTGATTCAGCCTAAAAAAAAAAAGGAAGAAGAAGAAGAAGAAAGAAAAGCCACTGAAGTCATTTATGTATGCCTGCCTTATGTTTGGTTTGGTTTGGCTTGGCTTATTGAGACAAGACCTCACTAAGGTGATGGCCTTGAACTTACAGTCCTCTTTGTCATTCTCCCAAGTGCTGACATTACCAGCATACTCCATCATGCCCATAACCATAGGAAATTTGTGCTGACACTGAAGGTATCCTACAAGCCTGTTGTGGCTTCTAAGAGATTTACTAGTTATAACTCTTTGAAAAGAAGTAACAATTTGTGTTTGTGTTTGTGTTTGTGTGTCCTCGCTGTACAGTAACAAGGAGAGATGAGACAAGCGGAGACAAAAAAGTTATGATGAACCCAAACCCCTGCCCCTTCTTCCTCTAAGTAAATATATAAGACCCTTCACCTGCCCTGCCTAGTAGTGTTGTTGTTGAGATCCAAGCAATGTGTTTGTGAAATGTTCTATGTGATCACCGTGCAGCAGAATGGTGCTGCTTTACTCTCGATTATTCTAAACTCCTGTTCTCTTAAGTTGTTGACTAACAGGACCTCAGGAAGGCACAGTCCTCTAAGTAGCTCCTGGGTCTAATTCTTTCTCTCCCCCAACCCCCAACAGGGTTCATTTCCTTTGCTGTGATCGTCTCTGTGATCTCTTTGGTGCTGATTGTGATTGTGGCCCCGAAGAAAGGACAGAGTAATATATTGGTCTATATCGCAATCTGTTCTTTGATCGGAGCATTTTCAGTGTCTTCTGTCAAGGGCTTGGGGATTGCCATCAAAGAACTACTAGAGTGGAAGCCTGTTTACAAGGATCCCCTGTTCTTCGTCCTGTTGACTGTGCTTATACTTTCAGTAACAACACAGATTAACTATCTCAACAAAGCCCTGGACACTTTCAACACATCTCTGGTGACTCCCATTTATTACGTGTTCTTCACATCCATGGTAGTGACGTGTTCTGCCATCTTGTTCCAGGAGTGGTATGGCATGAAAGCTGAAGATATCATTGGTACCCTGAGTGGGTTCTTCACCATCATCAATGGCATCTTCCTATTACATGCTTTTAAGAACACCAACATCACCTGGAGTGAGCTCACATCTACTGCAAAGAAAGAAGTCTTTTCTCCAAACGGCAGTCAGAACAGTTATGTTTTACTAGAGAATGCAGACTGTTCAATCTCAGGGAACGATGATGACGTCACCCTGTTTAGCAGGACTGATGACCAAAGTATCCATAAACTTTGAACTTCAGTGGAGACACCTGGAGAGAAAACTATACTTATTCTTGGAAGGTCTAATATGGGAGTCAAAAAATAAATAAATGAATAGCCTTTGCTGTGACTACCAAATTGGAAAATCAAGGTTTGATCATCTTCTAGAAGGTTCGTGTCTTCCTGTTATGTTTTCACAACTATTGAAGCAGTCTCTGCCCACAAAAAAAAAGAGTCAAAGACTTGTTATTTGTCTCTAAATAAGTCTTCTGGTCAGTAGATTTGGCACTGCTTGGATGGCACTTCAGTTCTTCAGTGCCTCGTCTTAGACTCAAGGTGATTCAAGGAGCTGTTAACTGTATTCTGACTAAGCAGAGTCTCACCGTTCTCTGAGTCATTATCTCAAGCTATTAAGACTAAGAAATGGAAAGACTAGTGCGTTGACCTCTGGTCTGCAACTGCCTGCTTTGTAAACTACACTGAAGATGAGTGAAATGCTTAAGAACACAGTGGGCTAAAATGTTCATGACACAAACTTTTTTTTTTCTTTTCCTCAAACACACACACATGATTATTTCGGAGAGTCTATTAACATAGGCCTGGAAAATGTGTTTTCTGGAAGACCCAAGTGAATTTAGCTTTGCAATGACTTACAATAGTCATTTGTTCCTTTTTCTTTTTTCTTCTCTTGGCATTTTGGAGATTGGATGTTTTCTTTTAGTTTGTTTTCTTGTCTGTTTATTTTTCAGACAAGCTCTTGCAATGTGACCAAGGCTGGCCTCAAGTTCTTTACTCCTTCTCCTTCTACCTCCTGAGTGCTAGGGTCACAGGTGTGTCTTTTTGAAAAATTATTATACCCTGTATTTCTTCTTGTTGGCATAAAGGTTTTTGTAAAACAATCACAACACAGTTTGAAGTTTATAGTGTGCTTCAGTTTTTCTCAAATGTCTTATCCCTAGAAAGTGGCTCCTCCAAAACTGAGAACAGCTGACACATTCTTTGTAAAATATTAATGCTATTTTTAAACCTGTTTTTTTTTTTCACCCTCAGGAAGAAACTTACAGTTTCTACCTTTTCAGAATGTCCACAGCCTACTGTTGTTTTAAGTGAACAGATACATTTGTTTTTCCTATTGAATTCACCTTGACCACGCTTTCCAATTCAGTTCGTTGACCAGTGTGTAGGGAGAGAGAAATTCCTAAAAACGAAGTGTCGAGACTTCAGACTTGCTACAGGAAGTGTCTTGCTCGTTAAAACTTTGCCTTTGGTGTCCCCGACTCATTCTAGAGTTCTGCTCTTAGAATCTTCAGCGAGGGCTACTGATGAGGGCAGTTAACAGCACTGCATGTTGGTGGAAGCTAATAAGCCATGGGCATTCCATGAGTTGATACCTCAAGTCCAACACATGTTTACTTTCTATTACTGACTCACTTATGTCTCAGGTATATAAGCTGTGAACATACATTTGTAGAAAATTATCTTCTGAAAGGGTAGCATGTTGGAAACCTGTACAGATTCTTTTACCGATTTTCTTTTTTGCTTTGAAAACTCCACTGGGACCTCCAGGGTATCTTCTTGGTGAGGACATCAATCATTTCTCTTGACATCCTTCCTCAGGTTGTGACAGTTGTCCACTCTAATGATTTTAACCTTCAGACACTTAATAAATGTTGCTCGTTACTTGACACCGTAGCTGTCAAGTTTTGCCCTGGGTACATTGAGCACAGGTCAAAGGTTCCTGGAATACAAGGATCAATGTGTCCTGGGGTTGGAAAATGAACTTGTGTTGACATATATTCCTAGGAGGAAGACTGAGAGATTTAATCAGTTGTCATAGATGGAGAAACAATGTAATATTGACAAAGCTCTCTGGAAAGATTATTGGTGAGCATACCCACTTAAAAAATGAAAATGTTACTGTGAGTCTAATACCACAGCTGAATCTTTCTTGTGTAGGAAAATGCTGCTTAAGGAAGAGCGAACTATTGTGTTTCTTTATTCACTCTGTGTCACTCTGAATCGCTTGTCTCATATTCATGTGCGTTTGAATGTATATCCCCTGTTACCATATAGGCATGTTTATTTGGTGGATATATATATATATAACTATTGTATCCTTTAATTTATCATTTCACCATTAGGTCAGTGGTTAATGATTCTATTTTTAGTCCAAAGTAAAAGATATTCATAAAATTCTTTAGATTTAAAAATATTAGATTAAATTTAATACTTATTTCTAAAAGAAAGAAAATTCTAGCTCACATACATCTTATCCAGTAAGTAACAGGAAATTCACTAAAGTTAATTCTCTTTAGTTGGAATTCTAATCCGCACATTCTTTATGCTAGACAGAGGAGGACCACTGACCACAAGTTTTCATGAATCCTTCATCTTTCCTCAATTTTGCTCACCTTATTCATTTCAGACAATCCAAGTGAAGGGGAATTCATCACTGTCCATTCTCGTTCACAGTATAGAATCATTCCAACAAAAGTGTTTTTGTTAGAGGTGAGGAATGTAGCTTAGTGGCACATGCTCCGTCAGCGGCCACGCAAGACACTGAGTTTGATCCTCAGCATGAGGGGGGAAGTAATAAAATGAGTGGAACCAAACCAAATGTCCCTTTCACCTCCGAAAGCTTTGGGGGACAGGGAGTCATGTGAATATGTTGAATGCTCTTGATATTTTTTAATAAACTGTGTTCATGAAAGTTTATATTTTTCAAATGCTTGTAAATACTATTCATTTTAGTTTATAAATTTGTAATGTTTCTGTATATTTCCAATAAAAAATGTGGTTTTGTTGTGCCTTTCGGTGCTGAGTTTATAAGCGTTAAGGTGTGTTCCTGTTTTGTTCTGAGATTTCAAAGAAAGTTCTGAAGGGGGCAACAGTGCACAGAGTCTTCCAGGGCCTTCTCTTTAAGACCAAAATCTGTTTTGGGAAGGCTCTCCCCCAAACCATCTGTGGCAGAACAGACTTGGCACCTGAATGAAAAAGAAAAGAAAAAAAAAAGAAAAAAACCTGTCTTATCCTTCAACAGTGTCATTAAACAAAATGGAGGTTCAAGGCAGTTAGTATAATGAAATCTCCTTCAGCTCAATAGCGTAAAGAAAAAGGGCAGCTGTCCCCCAGTACCTCTGAGAGCACTGGCTCCAGGGCTCCACCTGGGGTAGCTCAAGCCGGTTCTATAAAATGGCATAGTCCTCCCGACAGCTGACCCCAAGACAATGTAACTGTTACAAACTAAACTCTTAGTTGCTTCTAATTCAAATAAAGGAATTGTCTAAGGTAGAAAACCTCTCTCTTACCTGTGTCTCATACCCTTTCTTTCCTCAGTTTTATAAACCGAAGGGTACAATGTGCTGCGCTTTCTGGCATGCCACCTTCCCAACACACCCCGTCTATGGACGTAGATATGTGAGCGAGCCAGGCAGTGGTGTCTGTGTAGGAGAACAATGTGTGTCTACACTGAGGCTATGCAGACTTCAGTCTTCCAGAGGAGGCTGTCTGTGTAGGCACAAGCCAGCAGTGCCTTGTCCACAGCTTAAAGGAAGCCATCAAGAGGTAGATCACAAGGCTGAGGTGTGCTGTGCAATCACAGGGACCTCTCTGAATCTCCAGCGTCCACGTAAAAACCGACCCAGCGGCACACCCAGCACCGAGGTAGCTAAATCAAGCCCTGGGTTCCAGTGAGAGTTCCTGATTCTAAAAATAAGGTGCAGTGTGAGAGAGGAAAAAACCTGCTATTAACCTGGAGACACACGCATGCACGCATGCACATACATGCGCCACACCCACCCACCCACACACACACACACACACACACACACACACACAAACCACACACACATATATGCACCACACACACACACCACGGTGTGTGTTGTTGGGTTATAAAGACTCTCAAAGTTTACTTTAATAAATGAATCATGTGTTTCTCCCAGTTAAAAACCATAAAGTCAGTGAGAGTGCTGACAGCTATAACCATCTTCTCTTTTGATGACTACCCATGGAATAGCTTTCTCCTTCAGTGCGAGGCTGGATCTTCATCTACACTTGGCTAGTAACAGAGAAAACCTTGACCCAGCAACACCTTAGTCTTCCTAGGTAGATGATCTCGGGCAGTTGGAGGAGTGAGGGCATTCACAGCCTCCCCAGAACTTCCAGGAGCAAAACCCTTCCCAGGATCTGTTTCATCATCCCGAGGACGTGCAACAGGCTACAGGAAGATCTCCTTCTCACCCTGATCTCTGTAGGCCCCAGCAGCTGTTTGACTGGGGAAGTTAGGCACCATTAATTGTGGAGGGAAGCGAGCATGTTCTGATTGCTGCATGCCCAGAATGTCCTGACACATTCTCTTCTCTCAGATCTTGTTAGTAACTGACTGGCAACATCTTAGCTTCATTTCTGTGATAAAAAAACAAAAAACAAAAAACAAAAAAAAAAAAAAACTGGCACAAAGCAGTCTTGGGTAGAAGAGTTTTACTTCAGCTCACAGTTTCACACTTGTAGTTCATCATGCCAGGAAAGTCAAGGCATTAGGCACTCAAAGCACCCAGTCATGCCAGATCCAAGCTCAAGAGCAGACAAGACTGCGCTCACGGTCAGATCTCGGCTACTTTTATTTTTAATCTGATACAGTCCAGGGCCCCAAACCAGGAAATGGTTCTGCTCGCTTCTAGGCTGGGTCTTTCTGCATTAATTAAGGGAATCACACACCCCTCGGAGACAAACCACCGGCAGCCTGATCCAGCCAATCCTGTGTTAAGACTCTTTCTAGGTGGTTTCATATTGGATCGACGTGACAAAGCAATCAGAGCTAGCTAGCTGTAGGCAGCTAAATCTGGCCCTAAAATTCGTAGACTGCCTTCCGGGACAGGGAGTGTCATCTACCATAGAAACCAAAACAGAACCCCAGTCCATTAGTCTATGAAGAAAGTCTAGAACACCTCCAGAGTGGACCCTGGCTCTCAAAAGGTGACCCCTCCTGTTGCTAATAGACCCCACTAAAAAGTCAAGTCCTCAGAGACCTACAGCCTAGCCCCACCAAAGCAGGTTGAAACCACAGACCTGCTGAGGAGCCTTCCAGTTCAGGCTCTGTGTCTCTCAACAAGCTCTTGCTCTTGTTTTCACCACCGTATTCCTAAAACTGTTTAAAGTGAATTGGTATGTCAATACAAGAGACTTCTCGGGCTGGAGGGATGGCTCAGCAGTTAAGAGCGCTCATCAGAAAGCCTCGGTTCAGGTCCCAGAATACACACTGGACGGCTCACCACTCCAGCCACAGGGACTCTGCCACTTTCCTCTGACCTCTGAGAGCCACCCGCACACAGACACATGCACTTACATTATAAATTCATAAATAAATAAATCTTTTTAAAAGGGAATTTTCTCATCCTTTAATCAGGAACCTGTTAACAGTAAATTATAATGAAGAAAAAAATGAAACAAATTCCTCTGGGTACAATGAAACAAGGCTTTATTTTACCATGGTTATCTAGACTGAATTAAATTCCTTCCAAGCAATCTTGCATAAACACACACACACACACACACATACACACACACACACGAGAGAGAGAGAGAGAGAGAGTAAAGCGTCCTAGTATTCGGGGAGCCTGTTTCTCAGCATGACAAGATGTAAGCACAAACACTGCAGCAATTCAGCAAGCGCTGAGTTGGACATTCAGCCAAAACAGGCCCTAGCACAGAAGTTCCCTGAGGCGGACATCGGCTCCTTGATGATGCTGCCTCACCGTGGGAATGAAACTGGCTTAGAAGCAGGCAGGACCTAGGGAGTTAGATATGATTCAAGCTATCCACAAGGGTTCCACTTACAGGGTAGCACCTGCTGATTAGAGATTAACCTCCAGCAGAAAAGGAGAAGAAAAAGCATGGAGGAACTGGTCCAACAAGACTCAGCACTACACTGCACACCCACACAGAGGACACGCGACCTACAGTCACAGAATCGGAGCGGCTCCCAGGCCACCACCTCCATCCAACACATCTGTGTGTCTACTGTCCCCAAAGGGGGGCGATTTAAATGTATCAAAAGGGATTGAGAAGCAGAAACATGAACAAAAATAATTAGAATGACTACTTCAAAAACAAATTCACTTGATTTTCATTTCTCAAATCAACTGGCAGACTCCACAAAGTAACAAGGCCTCTTTAAAAATATTGAAACTTTTGGCTTTCGTCTGAGGTTTCATAAAACTCTGCATGCACTATGACATCCATATGAGAATTCTGCTGGCTTCTCCATTGTGGCAATGTTTTTTCAGAGACTACAAAATCCCGCCTTGGTTTTTGGACTCATGGTTGTCTTCACTGTATTTTCTCTCCACTTCTGAACTTGAACCCCATAGCTTCTCCGGCTTCTGCTGCCTGTTTTAGCCATTGTCTGTCAGGGAAATAGCAGGATGTGGAGCTCAGACATGTGCTGACTTAGCTAGGCACAGCCCAGTAAAGTCTGTTACTCTCCAGGAACTGAAGGTATATCTTTCTCCTTTCATTCTGCCTTTTAATAAACTTCACAAGAGCCCTCAACACAGAGTAAGTATATGTCCACAGTGCTTTAGCCACTAAAATGACTCATGGTCTGGTAGCACATCACCTGAAGAGATAAGGGACTTGTTTCTATTCTATTGCTTTGTTTTGTTTTACATGTTTTGGTACCACCACACAGACCAATGAACAGAACATCTGAGGAGACAAAGCCCAATGTCATAGTAAACACACAGGAAGTTTTATCTAATATTTTCCAAAGTTGATCTAGTTCAATTGCTTGTTGTGGGATGTTTGTAGCCCCATTCTCCTCCAGTTCAGATACCGGAGCCCTCACTTGCCAGTTAGATATTTTCTGGAGGCAGAAGATTTGGAAAGAAATAAGGTGAACTGAGTTCCTGAGGGAAGAACCCTTACAATGGCATTAGTGGTCTTGTAAAGAGACCCTAGGGATCTTGCTCTTTCTTTCTCTACCATGTAGGACATCCCAAGGAGTTGGGCATCTTCCAGGAAGAGAGCCTCACAGACTCCACACTGCTGGAACCCTGAGTCTTAATTTTCCACCTCTACAAAGTCTACTTCCTCTTGCCCAGGACAGTCATCCTTACTGAATTCTGGCAACTCTGGGAGATCGGAGCCACTGTCTCCATTTTACAGAGTTGGAGGTTCACTTGGCTCAAGCCCCAGGAGGCTAATACATAGCAACCCTGGTGTCCTAGTCCCTTGTGGCTGGGATAAAGACCTGACAAGGCCAGCTTACTGAAGAAGTGCTTGCTTGGGCCTACAGTTGGGTGATAAAATGGTGGCAGAAGCATGTGGTGACTGGCCAGCGTCTCTCCAAGTCAGTCAGCAGAGTGGTAGATGCTGGTACTCTACTCTTTCTTGTCTTGATTCTGTCTAGGTGCCTCCTACATTCAGGGTGGTCTTTCCTCACCCGCTAAGCATCTCTGGAGATGCCACCCTCCCAGAAAGACATGCCCACAGGATTGTTTCCTGCATGATTCTAAAACCCATCAAGTTGACAGTCAAGATTAACTACCCCAACTGGACTGGAAAGCTAGCAGTCCTTGGCATTAATGTATTAATCTTAGCAGTATAACCAATATAATGAAGGATTTGATGAAAAATTCTAGCAAACGTGTGCCAAACAGTAACTACCACAAAAAGTCAACGGAGATGTGTCAATTAAGAGTTGAACCAACTCTGGGTAATTAAACATGAGACAAGTGACTTAAAGAACCAGAGGCTCATTTATCTCCTGTAACAAGCCTGCAGCTCAGCATGTCTTGGAAAAACTCAAGTT